AATACCCAGAAATAATTTTTCATTAAAGATATACATACTTTTTTTTCCAGTAATACCATTTTTATTGAAGTGAAATTCACATACTGTCATTTTTTGTATTTTTTATTTTATTAAAATTGATTGGGGTGACCTTGGTTAGTGATATCATATAGGTTTCAAGTGTACATTTCTGTGATGCATGATCTGTATGTTGCACTGTGCGCACACCACCCAAAGTCAAGTCATCTTCCATCAGCATGCACTTGAGCCTCTTTCCCCTTTACTGCCCTTGAACCCCTTCCCTCTGGTAACCTCTGTGCTGTTGTCTGTCTGTGTCTATAGCTGAGTTTCAGTTTTATAGCCCACATATAGTGAAATCGCATGGTTATTAGCTCTTAAGCATTTAGACTATACTGCCAAATCTTTTTTCGAAAGTTTAACTCTGTTGAGCAGTATCTTAAGGCGCCCATGTCTCTACCACTTCGCAAACACCAGGCATTACCATTTTTTCTTTTTCTCTCAATCTAATGGGCACATAGTAATATTTTGTTATCATTTTAGTGCAAATTGTGTTTACTTCATTTAAAAAATTGTCATTGGTGTTCGAATACAGTTATCTCCATTTCCCCCCACCACATTTCCTGCCCCCCACACCCCCACCCTCAGTCCTACCCCGCTTTGGCTTTGTCCACGGGTCCTTCATACATGTTCATTCGTGACACTTTCCTTTCTTTTTTGATGGGAGTAATTTTGATGTTTATTGATCATTTGTATTTTTTTTCCTTTTGAAAATTACAGGTTTACATTCTCTGCCTATCTTTCTATCATGGTATTTGCCTTTGTTTTTAAATGCTATAAAATATTCTTATAAAGATAAGCTTTTGTCATTTATAGTGCAAATAAAACATTCATTTCAGTTTGTCTTAGGCAATTTCACTTTGTTTATGGTATTTTAATTGTTCGGAATATGTTTCGTGTGACGCGGCCGTGTTTAGCTGCAGTTTCTTTTATGGTTCCTGTCTCCGGGGTCAGGCTTTGAGAGTCCAGCCCCACCCTGTGATTAGGTAAATGTAAGCCAGATGTCAGCTCAGTCACTCCAGCTGTGGCCCCGGCAGTCCCAGGCTTTGTGCAGAAATCTCAGCCCACTCATCAGTGTCCACCAGAAAGCTGCTCACAGCAGTTGTTCTGGGAGACTGGGTGGGGGGAGGGGGCCCGACGGGGAGGGGCGCATGATGAAGGACCCAGCACCAGGAAGTACAGCCAGCCTGCTGTCTCTTCTCTTCTTGCCAAACCTCCTCTCCATTCCTCCCTCTACTGAGCACCAAAAGGTCAACAATTCTGCAGAGCAATTAATGAACCACCTTCTGATATGTAAGCACTTCTTAAAGGTCTTCACCTGCAACCCAAGCAGGTTATCAAGCATCACTTCCATCATTTGCAGGCTACTGTCTTCCAAAAGATTTTGGTGAATACAATTCACCAAAATTATGTGAATATATTGCTATATTTTCTTATGTGAATATATTGCTATATTTTTTTTGAGTAAATAGTTTTTACTTAACATTTGAATGTATATGCTGCTCGGAAATTGTTTTTGTTCTGGAGTGAAGAACTGTAAGACAGCTATGGAAATTCTTTTCCTTCCCACCCCAACAATCGTCACTAGACTGGGAACAATAGGAGGCACCAGGTGTACTTGTCTCCCCTCGTACCCTTAGTTGCTTTCACAGTAGATGCATAGTAGGTGCTCAATAAATAAATGTGGAATGAATGGAGAACATGCAGTGAAAATTTATTGAGGCCAAATTTTGACTTTCCTCAATGAAAATGAGGCTTGCCTTCTCCAAATGAAACAAGAACTCCTTCTCCACTGAACTGACTGAATTTTCCACCTTTGTTTACGGCGCTCTGTAGGGGAAGATTTGTTTTAGTCTGCCCTAGCTCTCTCTTCCTCCTTTTGGTAACTGCACCCTAATTTCTCTATGTGGAACCGAGGGTGAGCAGGGCAAGCCCCTTTGGTCCATCAGAGCACTGATATCCCTGTGGCCACATTGTTTCAGGAATGGGCATGTGACACATCGGACCAATTAGAGGTTCCCCAGGATTTCTGGTGGAAGTTTCAGGAGAGAGAGGCCTTCTTTGCAGGGAGGTAGAGGTCAATGTGCTCACCTAACATCAGTGTGGAGAGACGGCCTATATTGGTCATCTTTGACAACCTGGAGAAACCAGCCAACATAGAGGACAGTGGAACAGGGAGGTAAAGACAGACTTGTGGAAGGATTAGAATGAGGACAAGTTTATTTATGAGAAAAAATTCTTTTTCGAGACGTAAGTCAATTTGACTTAGGTTGCTGTCCCTTGCACCACCAAATAGTGTTCACCCTCTCGACTTTGACAGATTAGCTTATTATAAGCCCATTATCAAAGACCTCCACTCATTAACACAAAAACCTCAAAGTCAGGGTCCCTCCTGGTCACTGTTGCCCCAGTCTATTCCTGTGACTTCCTGGGGTACACAAGGATTTATAAAGAAATGTTTTCTTGGAATAGAGTGTTAACGAAGATTAACTGAGCGCCTACTAGGCATCATGAATCATACATACATTTCTCATCTCTATTTCTCCTACCCATTATGCAAGGTTACTCATGAGGACCTGCAGTTTTACTAAACCAGAGGAAGCGGGGGAGTCACACAGGTGGAGGCTGGAAGGTTATGGGTGCTGTCTCTGGAGCCAGCCCGTTGAGACCTGGGTATTCAGTTCCCCCACCTAATAGCTACAAAATTCTGGAGAAGTTACTTCCATTAGCTGTGCCTCATTTTCCTCATGTGTACATGAGGATAATAATGGAGCCATATTGCAGAGTCGATCAAAGGACTCAGTAAGGTGACACACAGACACAAAGAACAGCAGCTGTCACCTGGTGAGTGCTCAGTAGGAATTAACCATTATAGTGTCTTGGTGTAGTCAGAGCTGGACTGGGCCATCAAAGCTCATATTTCTAGGAAATACACAATGTCCCTTGGATAGCCCATAAATAACTCTAAATCTCTTCAATTTAGTGTTGCCAGGGCTCTGTTTTAGGTGTTGATGCCCAGCACGTCCCATCCCTTCCTATAATCCTGACCACAGGACCAGGAAGGATGTGAAGCTCAGGGTGCTGGCACTGTCTTCTGCTCCAAGTAGGGGGAGTGTGTGTATGTGTGCGTGTGTGTGAGAGAGAGAGAGGAGACCGAGACCGTTGCTTGGGCCCTGAATCAACTCTGAGAAGGCAGCTTGCTCCCTGTGCTTCCCATTTCTAGGATCCAATAAATCTCACTTTTCCTTAAGCAAATAGAGGTAGAATCTTTGTCAAGACTGAAATGGCCCAACAGACACAGTCCCCCAGGTGTTTAAAGAACTCTGTGATGAACGCACCCTTCCCCAACTCCTAATGAATTGTATTTCTCTGTCAGAGCAGAAGGCATTTCACTGCCCTCATTTGTTCTTCTATTCAAGCACCCACCCTGTGTCCACACGACTTTAGTGTCTCTGCACTGGCCATGACATTAGCCTGGTGGTCTCTCTCAGACACTCTCTTATTCTTTGTAAATCAGTGCTAATTATCCCTAACTTTCAGGATTGCCATGGTGACTAAAAAGACTTATAGTTTAAAAACTCTGACATACTTTATAAATATGGGATGATGGTAGCTTTATGTTCTGGCAATCTGAGCAGGGAACAAGACTTCTATAGTACTTGTTCTGTACTGTAGAAAAAAATGCTGGTTTTACAGCTCCTTTGGGAAGCAGGTAGACTATAATGGTTAGTTAAAATGTCTGTGGCAAATTAGACCTACCCTAAGTGTTCCACACGTGAATTAGCATGGAGAGGCATGTGGTGATAAACATGTAAGTCTGAAGTTGTCTATGGATTGCATGAATTTTTTCATAGGCTTTCTTGAGTCTTGCAGGAATTCTTTCAAAGGCAGTAGAAAGCGATAGGAATATATTTCTTACCACTGTAAAATAAGCTAGAATGTGATAAGCATAAAATAAATTTAAAAGTAGACTGTTAGAGCATCCACTATGTGCTATGCTCTATGCTAAGAACTCTATGTGATTTTCTCAGTTAAATGTCACACCATCTTGTAGGTTTTCTTCATTTTGTAGCTGAGAAAGCCGAGGCTTGGAGAAGTTATATGTCTATCCCCAAATCATAGCACTCATTGATGAAAAGGCAAGTCTAGAGTAAATATGTTTTTCTCAATAAATGTTTGTTGGGAAGCCTTTGTAGAAGGTACAGCATCTTAGAGTAGGTACAACTTACACATGGGAAGGGAAGGGAAGGGAGGAGGCGCTAGGACCCATGCGAACAGCAGGAAGAAAGGTGGACTTGAAGAGCAGTGTGCATGAATGGAAACAGAGAGCAACACTGATCGAGAAATAAGTAGTTCTGAAAAAATGGTTGGGGGCAGATTGTGGTGCTTTGAATGTCAAGGTCAAGAGTCTACACTTATTTTATAAGCAATGGAGAGAAACAGAAAGCTAAAGCCATGAAATGACATCATCAAAACGCTACCTAAAGTGGCCCCTCTGCCTGCCCTGTGCAGAGCAGACAAGAAAACGTGGCCAGAGGAGCGGAGTGGGAGACCACCTCGGCACTGCCACAGGACAGACTTCAGTCTGCCCAGGAAGGGAAACTCGAGGAAGAAACTTGATGTCCAATGCCAAAAAGACATTTTTTTCTGATGAACTATCTAAGACATTTTGATATTGTTCGCTGGCTTTGTTTTTGCAGAAGTCTGGTTTAAAGTTTATAAAGCATGCACTTGCCTTTAAGATTTTGCAAATACATAGGCAGAGAAAAGGCTGCCCTCCCTGCAGTTCTTGAGATTTCCTCATCCAAAGACTCTCTCTTCCTGCCAAGAATGTGCATGACTGGAGCCAGCCAGTCCTGGCAGGGTTCCCTCCCTCCTCCTGAAGCCCCTCCCCCACCACGGCTCTCACCGGAGTCCAAGCTCCTTCCAAAGTTAGAAAAACTGCCAAGGCCTCCGTCCCTCCCCTCTGATCCCATTCCCTCCCAGTTCAAGGAGTTCGTCCTTCTGGACGAAAACTGAATATTTTGGACTATAAAGAAAACATGCTCTGTTTCCCCTGATGGCATCTCCAGGGTGGAGGAAAATAGACTGGCCTTTGTTACTTCATCCCCGGTAGAAGATTACCAGCCGTCCCCAAAGCTGGAGGCGGGGTGGTGGCAGGAGGTAAGGTCTGGTCAGTTGACTTAGCATAAGGCCTGTATTGTCCAGGCTGCCTCTGGGGAAACAAAACTCTTTAAGGAGCTGAGCTGCCCGCATGGGCTCAGAGGTGGTGGGTCTGGCTGCCCAGCACTTTCTCATCAATGTCCTTCATCTTCTAGGGTCTTCTTGGGCTTTGAACATGTTGGCATGCAGGGTGGCATCATCTTCAAATGACATGTTTTGTGGGACAAAAAGTAAAGCAGAAACTTGAAGATAAAAAGCTAGATATGTAGGCAGCTGATCTGTAAAGACAGGAATGTGGAAAAGCCACCACTAGCTGGGGAGCATTTATGAAATAGCTGCTATGCCACGTACTCCGTACTGGGCAGAGGCTGAGTTTGAACCCCAGACCCCTTGCCTCCTACCTCCACATTCTCTTTGCCAACTAGGTGTTTTTTATTTGGGTTTTTTTTAATTGTTTCTCAGTGAAATCTTGATTTCAGATGAAATCTTACATAGAACACAAATATGCAACTATATCTAAAACTGTAAATGGTATGCTAGCATAAACACAATCTATTTGTTTAAATCTCATAACATATTTAAAGCAATGAAACCCATGAGTCATTTCTAATTAACACAAATATTAAGGTTAAAATATTAAAATTAAAGTTACAGCTCTCTGTAAGCTTCAGAATTTAATCTCATTTTTAATTTTGTTTTTATCACACAGAATTTTCTTAAATTTTAAAAAATTTTTTAAATTGATTATGCTGTTACAGTTGTTCTATTCCCCCCTTCATTCCCCTCCACCCTACCCACCCTGCCCCCGCCATTACCCCCCCTTTAGTTTATGTCCATGTGTCTCAAGTTCTTTAGATTCTATATTTCCCATGCTATTCTTACCCCCCCCATCTATTTTCTATCTACTGTCTATGCTACTTATTTTCTGTACCTTCTCCTCCTCCCACTCCCCTGTTGCTAACCCTCCTTGAGATCTTCATTTCTATGTTTCCACTCCTGATCTAGCTGTCCTTTTAGTTTGCTTTTGTTTTAGATGTGGTTGTTAATAACTGTGAGTTTGTTGTCCTTTCACTGTTCATGTTTCTTTAACTTCTTTTTCTTCGATAAGTCCCTTTAACATTTCATATAATAAGGGCTTGGTGATGATGAACTCCTTGAATTTGATCTTATCTGAGAAGTACTTTATCTGTCCTTTCATTCTAAATGAAAGTTTTGCTGGATAGAGCAATCTTGGTTGTAGGTCTTTAGATTTCATGAGCTTGGAATACCTCTTTCCAGCCCCTTCTTGCCTGTAAGGTCTCTTTTGAGAAATCAGCTGACAGTCTGATGGGGACTCCTTTATAGGTGACTGTCCCCTTAGCTCTTGCTGCTTCTAGGATTCTCTCCTTCATTTTAATTTTGGCTAATGTAATGATGATGTGCCTTGGTGTGTTCCTTCTTGGGTCCAACTTCTTTGGTACTCTCTGAGCTTCCTGGATTTCCTGGAAGTCTATTTCCTTTGCCAGATTGGGGAAATTCTCCTTTATTATTTGTTCAAATAAGTTTTCCACTGGTGGCTGTGCCTTTCCCCCTTCTAGTACCCCTATAATTGGATGTTGGAGCGTTTAAAGATGTCCCGGAGGTTCCTTAGACTCTCCTCATTTCTCAGAATTGACTAAACTTCTTTCCTACCCAAATACACGATTGGAAAGGATTGTAAGTCCCTAAATCACTCCTCTTGGAATCTCAGCATATTTATTCATTTGTAAAATAAGTCAAAGCATTATAAAGCTGAATTGCTATTAATATTTAACTATAACTCTATGTTTTCTATCATAAACTTAAATGTCCAAGTCAGATGAGTAGTTCTTCAAACCTACAGTCATCCGAGAAACTGCCCGTGTTGATGCTGTTGCCATGGCAGCACGTCTAACATTCCAACTTGCCTTGCCTGGTGCACAGTCACACACTGCTGTTCTGCTGAAGAGTCCCTGTGTGTACGACCCTACACGAGGACACCCAAGTGAACCCGAATTTTTTTTTAAAAGCAAGCAAACAAACAAAAAAAGACTTTGCAAATTAATACTACATTCCAAAAATGTTTCTAAAAACAAAAGTGCTACATTCCAAAAAAATTGGAATGCTGGCTGTATCACTTACAGGCTATGTGATCTTGGAAAATGCTCTTAACTTCTCAGAGACTTAGCAGCAGAAAGGTAATGAAATTCTCTCGATAGGAGACCGAATGGTGGCCCTCCAAACGATATAGCCATGTTCCAGTGCCTGGAATCTGTGCGTGTGATCTTATTTAGAAAAAGGGTCTTCTTAAGTGTAACTAAATTAAGGATCTTGAGATGAGTTCATCTGGGATCATACATGTGGCCCTAAATTCAGTAACAAGTGTGCTTGTAAGAGACACACAGAGAAGAAGGCGGATGTGAAACAAGTGGAGATTGGGAGGATGCGTCTGCAAGTCCCAGGATGCTGGCAGCCTCTAGCAGCTGGAAAAGTCATGGAAGGGATGCCCACCTAGAGCCTGTGCTGGGAAGCATTTCCCTACCAGCACCTTGATTTCAGATTTCTGGCCACTGGAACCGTGACAGAATACATTCCCGTTGCTTTAAGCCAGGAAGTTTGTAGCAATTTGCTCAGGCAGCCACCAGACACTAGTACAGCCTTTCTAAGGTTTTGTGAGGATGAAATGAGATGCCGGCGCACACTAGAGTCAGTGACTTTGATCTTCCCTCTATGTAGATCTTTTCTGTGAAATGATGTGAAGACCACCCGCCTGGAAGTGCGGTTGGCTATGGGAAGAGGAAGAATGGCAATGAAGGTAAGAGACGTCTATGGCGGGCCCCTCTCTTGCATAATCCTCTTACACGGTATTCCTTATGTCATCTGTTTTGGCAAAAAATGCTAAAGAAGATATCTTTATATTCCCTTTCCTGACTAATTATTTTCAGCACTTCTGGGTATATCAAAGAAATCGTGGAGCTTGCTGATGGTCAGTAAGGGAAGGCTGCAGATCAAATACCACAGATCCTCCCGTGCACAGGGCCACGTCTCTCACACCCAGTATGTCTCCCAAGCCCAGGAAACCAGCCAACTCTCCCGGGAGTCCATTCTTGTGTGAGTTATGCTTACACAGAGCTGAAGCCGACTTCCTGACAGGTTCACCCACTGGCCTGAGTTTTTCTTCTGAATCAGGCCTGGTCTATCATCCACATTTAACCTTTCAAATCTTTGTTTGAAAATAGAAATCAAGGGATCTTGGAGATCTCGCTGAGCAAAATGTATCCTGGTCTTGCGAGGTGCACTTCTGCATTGGTTGGTGAGCTCCCACCGCTAGATGACTTCCTCAACTTGGCGCTCTCTTTTTGAAAATGAAAGGCCTAAAATTTGACACAGAATGAATTCCAGGTAACATTTAATCAATGCAGAATAAAGCAGACTTATTGCTTCCTTTGGTCTAGAACTTAAACTCCTAGTGATATTGCCTATGTTGTTAACTTTCTAAACAGCTGTTTTGTTGCAAGCTTGGCTCATTCACAGGAGAGGCAATTGGGGAGTTAAGAATGGAAAGCAGATAGAAGTCGTAGAGGTTCACATGCTGTGCTGGGGTGTTTTACCTAAAGATGATGGGAGGCAGGATCTGTTCCTACACAGGGACTCGTGTCTCCTAAGTGCTTTATTTCCAACTGAATTTTAAATCAAAATATAGAACTTTGCCTGTGCCCTGCCTGTGTTCTGGACTGGCGTGCCCCTGCTTTGGCCCCATGGACACTCCCTGCTGGGGAGAGAGGCTGGGTTGTCACACGTCATCCTCCTCCATCCAAGAAGATTTCCATTTCTTTTTTTTTTAAGATTTTATTTATTTATCTTTAGAGGGAAAGGGAAGGAGAGAGGGAGAGAAATATCAATGTATGGTTGCCTCTCGTGTGCCCCTGATGGGAACTGGCCTGCAACCCAGGCATTGCCCTGACTGGGAATCGAACTGCAATCCTTTGATTCACAGGCCCGCCCTCAATCCACTGAGCTACACCAGCTAGGGCTCATTTCTTGTTTTTAAGTATAGCTATACATACATTCATTCATTCGCGTTATCTTTTGCTTTAAAAAAAGATCTTGAAATGGAGGGCCTTGCATTCATCCCTGTGCGATCCCTCCCACCTTGGCTTTTGTCGCTCAAGGCCGGTTTGAATTTTGATTTACCCTATCATTTATCCTATTATCTCTTCCTCTCAGATTTGCTTCACCCTTGTATTTTCCCACAAGCCTTCTGTACTTTTTCCCAAGACAGAAGAAGGGACCTGGCACTTTTTAAGCACTCCAGAGATAAATGTGGGGAGAGACTTTGGAATCCCGCTGCCCATGGAATTATGGAAATTGAATCAAGTTTCCAAGGTTTCAAAGGGCAGAGGGGTCCCAGGTGAAAGAGGGTTACCTTTCGGAAATCTGACTTCACACAGCACCGCAGAGGCAGGTCCATGCGCACCCGCCTATGAACATACGGAGGCCACGGGGGAATGAGGAGAGAGGGCCACCAAAAATTTGGAGGCAGAATGGAGGGAGAATGAAACCAGTGCTGATTTTAATAGCAGGACTGAAACAACTCAAATGGCCATGACAGGAAAATAGGTAGGTAACTGGTGGTGTGTTTAGACTGAATAGTGCGGCAGCGGAAGTGGTTGGGCAAGATTCTGTAGAACAAGGATCTTAGTAACATGACACTCAGTGGAGAATGCATGTAGCGTGATACCCGTCCATACAATTCAGTAACAGCAGAAACCAAAAATATATCTCTTTTAGGCATAAATATATATGTGTGATGAAACTGTATTCAAAGGAAAACCGAGGAGATGACAAATGCAAAATTTAGAATCGTGAGTAGTAACTCAGGTGGAAACAGACAGGGGCGTGAACAGGTGGACAGCATACGGTCAGGTGTGAAAAGCTCTAGCTCCGTCAAAGCCCAAGCCCTGGAGCTGCCCTGTGGGCTCATGGGTACTCATTGTGTGGATGGACTACAACAGTGTACAATGAACCAAAGCTTCTCATTGATCTGACCCTGTGCTCTGGAGATCCATCTGGCTTTTGAATGGTAAGCTGTTGGTTATATGCATATAAATTTGAAGGCAAAGATGAAACTGGGGAGAGAAAATTGAAAGTTATTTTTACATAGATGATATTCAGAGCCCTGGGAAGAGTTGAGATGAAGAGGAGCAGCCCAAGGACAGGGCCTGTGGTCACCACCATCTACAAGCACAGACAAGGAAGAAGGACTGGCTCCTGAAGAACTAGGAAAACCGGCCCTGGCTGGTGTGGCTCAGTGGATGGAGCACTGACCTGCAAACTGAAATGGCGCTGGTTTGACTCTCAAGCAGGACACACTCCTGGCCTGTAGGCCAGGCTCCCATTTGGGAGCATGTGTATCTCTCACACACTGATATTTTTCTCCCTCTCTTTCTCCTTCCCTTCCCCTCTCTCTAAAAGTAAATAAATAAATCTTAAAATAAAAGAAAAAGAAGTATGGAAACCAGTGGAGTGTGGAGTCCTGAAGCCTAAGAAGAGAAAGTAACTGAAGCAAGTTAGTGGCTGTGTCAAGAAAGGTAGTGATCATTGCAATTGACCAGCTTCAGATCACAGGGGACCTTGACTAGAGAAGCCCCTTGCAGTGAGAGGAGATGACGCTTCCTCCTCTCCAGTACTGCCACCCTGAGTCAGCCCCTTCTCCTCTGTCTTTGAGGTGACACCCTGAGCCCTGCTCTTGTCCCTCACCAGCCTATGCTCACATCACCACCCTGGTGGGCACGAGTCCAAACATGACTGTTCCCTTGGTCCCTTACATCTCTTGGTGCTGTATCTGCTTTATGAGAAGGCCCCTCACAGGCCCTGTTTCCCATACCGAGTGCTCTCGTTACTCGAGATCAGCAATTTTCAACCAGGGCACTGCAAGGATTTTTACAATAGGCAATACCTGACTGCTTCATCAGGGACGCCGACCTCATTTCCCTTCGACTGTCAAATTAAAAAATGACAACAGCCAACACAACAATAGCCATCCAGTGTGAATGTACTTTCTTAAACCATAAATATATAGGTCATATAATAGAGTTGCATTTTATCGGTCACATTGCATAATAAGGTTGGGGTCTGATTGATTAATTCTTGGTACCAGAAGTCCTCATACACAAATATCAGTACCTGATTTTTTTAAAAAGTCACTTTGAATCAAAAAGGGTAGGTAATTTTACTTACTTATTTATTTATTTATTTTGGTAAATGAGTCAAAATTGTACCTATTCTTTTTGTCAGATTGGCAAAAGCTAAACATTTTGGTGTGCTAAAGAATTGCAGTAATTAGTTTATGTGTGCCAAGAGATTTTTAAAAAGGTTGAAAATCCCTGCTCTGGGTGATTCCTCATTTCTCATGCGCATGATCATGCTGGTCCCTCCACAGCGGGCTGTTCCTAAGACTTTGCTCCTGTGATCCACAGGGACTCTTGCAATCCTCTCTGACCGCCCCCAGCCCTGCCCACCCTCTGCTCACTGGCAGAACTGGGGAAGCACAGTGAGAGACGTGGGCACCCCACTTCTGGTTCTGTCTGTCACTGATAAGCTTGATGACTTGGAATAATGAAGTGCTTTCCTGCTTCGGGTCCTGGTGTCCTACTCTCTGAAATAAGGGGGTTCAGCTGGGGGTGTTTCAGGGTCTCTCCACCTGGAATAGTCTCCATTTCTAGGGACATTGGTATAGACTTACATTTTGGAGCCCTTGCTCTACATTCTTAGGAAGAGAGGCCATTATCCTTCGTTAACTTGAAACTCACCTGGCCTTTGGCTGTTGGACAAGAAGGAGGCAGGGGACATTGTGAGAGTCTCTGCATGGGATCCACTTTGCTGTGTGGTTTTGGATACCTAGGATAGGACTGGGACAGTGATGGGTCAGTTTTGTGTCCCTCTGACAGGTAAACTTGGCAAGCATCCAAGATTGGCTAATGGCCCCTCACTGAGTCCAACATGCCCAGCTCCTGGTTTCAGTTACTTCTTTGAATGGCCAAGGCTTTGGAAGAGAATTTTATTTTAAACAATTGTTACATGACAGTAAAAGCATTCCTCATTTTGAAATGCCTAGTGACGACTAGTTTTATTTTTTATACCCACCATTTCCTTCCAAAGAAATTAAACAAACAAACAGATGCCTCCCTCTCTCCCTGTCTCTTTTTTTGGCTTTGGTCCACAAACAATGCAGTGCTTTCTGCACCATCTGCTGGTTCTGTAAAGGTAATTAACCAATGCACACTATTCCCAGATGAGGCTGCTTTATAAAGGACAAATCACTCCAGGCAAACAGGAGAGGAACAAAATAAAACCAAGGCAGGCTTGCAAGACAACTGGCGGCCGGACGTCACTGGAGTGTGTGTTTATAGCTGCTTGTCAAATTGTAACTCCCGAACATGATTTCATATGAATTTAACGAAGGAAATTGAATTTCTTCCCTGCTAGGAGGCCCTACAGAGGGGTTAGGACAATCTCAGAATGTCTAGTATTTTTGTCTCTCAGATCTTATCTTCTCTTTTTATCTGCTGTATTTTTTTAAGAAGGGGAAAATAAGAAGAGACGTCAACAAAAATTCAAGATACAGCATCATGTAGGACACTGGCTTTTGGCTTTGAAGGCAGACAGGTTCTGTTGCTCATTATCTGGCCTTTAACATGTCACAGAGCCGGTCAGAGCCTCATACCCATACCCGTAGGTTGGGAACAAGAGTAAAGCCAAGGTCGATGTAACAGTGAATGAATTCAGGTCAGGAGTGCTATCCAATGCTCAGCTAGCACCAAGCCCACCGTAAGTGGAAGTTGTCATTAACATTATCATTATCAGGTGAGCATTCATGACAGATGGCCCGAACCACCCTCAGCAGCAGGGAATTAATAACCCTTCCAGCAAGACTCACATTCTAACAGGAGCAGAAGCACTTTAAATAAAAGGAGAGAATAGAGGGGCTGACCTTAAAAATGTAAGTCTTAAAAAAGTGTGTTTAGGGGCAAAAGATACAATTTAGATGATGCATGCTTAAAACACATAAAACACAACAATGTAAGAGTTCATTCAGACTAAGATTAAGGGGTTGGAGTAGGAGGTATGTAGTCAAATTTAAAAAGTGAAATGAAAAACATGGGTTGGATAGGAATAAAATATGAATTGTGGAAATGGAGAATTGTCTTCCTGGGAGTAAGGACGTCCCACCTGGCATGCTGACATTTAGGAGTGGGTTCTCGGTCACCTTGCAGAAGTTCTCAGAAGACACAAAAAATAAACAAAATTAGAGATGGAATGGGAGAAGTAACTATTGAATCCACAGAAATACAAAGGATTGTAAGAGACTATTATAAATAACTATACACCAATAAATTGGATAATCTGAATAAAATGGATAAATTCCTAGAAACAATATTCCAAAAACTGAACCAGGAAGAATTTAAAAAACTGAATAGATCAAATACAACAAATGAAATTGAAGCAGTAATCAAAAACTCCCAACAAACCAAAGTTCAGAACTGTACGGCTTCACAGATTAATTTTAGCAAACGTTCAAGGAAAACTAATGCCTCTCCTTATGAAACTATTTCCCAAAACATGCAAGAGGAGGGAAGAATTCCAAGGTCATTCGATGAGCCAGCATTATCCTAATTCAAAAACCTGATAAACATACTACAAAGAAAAAAATTAAACACTAATATCCTTGAGGAATACAGATGCTAAAATCCTCAACAAAATATTAACACACTGATCTAGCAATCCATTAAAAAGACCATACTTCACGATCAAGTGGGAGTTATTCTCAGGGTGTGAGGTTGCTGCAGTATCTACAAATCAATACATGTGATGCACCACAGAAACAAAATGAAGGATAAAAATCACATGATCATATTAGCAGATGCTGAAAAGTCATTTGATAAAATTCAGCAGCCATTTATCATTTTAAAAAAAACCTCTCAGCAAAGTGGGAATAGAGAGAATATACCTCAACATAATAAAAGTCATATACAATGAAGGCATAGCCAACATCATACTCAATGGGCAAGAACTGAAAGCATTTTCCTTAAGAACAGGAACAAGACAGGTCAGGGCATAGGACCTGAATAGACACTTCTCCAAAGAGGATGTGCAGAAGGCCGACTGACATTTGAAAAACTACTCAGCATCACTAGCCATCAGAGAGATGCAAATTAAAACCACAATGAGATACCACCTCACCTGTCAAAAGGGCTATCAATAAATTGACAAACAACAAATGCTGATGAGGATTCGAAGAAAAGGGAACCCTTGGGCTCTGCTGGTGGGAATGCAGATGGGTGCAGCCACTGTGGAAAGCAGTGTGGAGAATACCTCAAAAAAGTAAAAGTGGAACTGCTGTGACCCGGCAATTCCACTTCTGGGAATATATCTGAAAAGAAACCTGAAACGTAATTCAAAAGAATATATACAGTCCTATATGTTCATTGTGGCATTCCTTATAATAGCCAAGATTCGGACACGGCTCAAGCGCCCATCAGTGGAGGTGTGGATGAAAACAGCTATGGTACATTTACCCAGTGGGATACTGTAAAAGCTTACCTATTGCAACAGCATGCATGAACCTGGAGAGTATTATGCTAAGTGAAATAAGCCAGTCAGAGAAGGACAAAGAACATGATTTCACTTATATGTGAAATCTAGTGAACACAATAAACTAACAAACGAAATAGAAACAGACTCACAGATACAGAAAAAAGACTGACAGCTGTCAGAGGGGAGGTGGGGTTAGAGGACTGGGTGGAAATTGTACAGGGATTAAGAAAAAAAAACCCTCGCACACAGACAGCAGTATGACTATCGGTGATTACCAGAGGGGAAGGGAGTGAAGGAGGTAGACAGAAAAGGATAAAGGGGGATAAATGGTGATGAAAAGACTTGACTCTGGATGGTGAACACACAGTATACAGTGTACAATAGAGTATACAGATAATGGATTATAGAATTGTACACTTGAAACCAATGTAATTTTATTAACCAATGCTACCCCAATACATTTAATAAAATGTTTAGAAAAGGTACAGAATGTGGTGATGAAGATGCAAAAGACGATGATAATGTTAATGATTGCTTCTTCATTTTCTTTTCCTCTGATGGGCCAAGCCAGGGCCCAAGGAGGCTGCTTCTGGTTACCCAGCAGATATACCCCAGATAACATTGTTTTATGAGAGTCCCATCGCTGCTCAAGGCAAAGGTTGGTGTTTGTTTTCTAATGGCAACAAAAGACATCACTAGTCAGGAAAATGATAATATCCACGGTCCACAGTCCCCTCCCTGATGGCTGCAACTTGATATTTCTGGAGGGAACAAGTCTCAGTAACTACCAGATGCACCCACCCTTGTTACTTGCACGAGATCTCTTAAAACATCAAAGTTCTGAGGGATGCCTGGCTCATTACCGGACTAGGCACCAGCCAGCAGCTCAACCTGGAGAACAAAAGACACCACCACCCGTGGTTTATTTGAGGGACTTGGTCTTCTTCCTACTTGACAGGCTTCAATATTGACATTCTCCTTGGTGACAGCTGAGAATTTGGGGCAGGGGGAGCTGAATGCATCTAGTTTTTTCTTCAAAATCCAGCTTGAATACCACCTCTTCCAGGACACAGCCAGTGTACAGAGATAATGCTTGTCTGCTTGTCCCACCTCACTTTAGGGGCATCATTACTCATCAGAGTAACTTCCTCGTAATAGAAGTAAGTACAGTGGGCAGTCCACGGGGTAGATGGGTCAACTGGGCCTGTGATGGCTCAGGGAGGCTTTCTGTAAGAGGACACCCTCTCTCTAGTTTTCCTTGATAGATGAAGAGAAGAGTGGAATTCCAACAGAGAAACCCAAGGAAGGGATGGGTGGGGCCATAGCTGTGGTCCTGTTAGCTTGGCTAGCGTGTCCAAGGGGCCACTGAGAGGGGTTTGCAGAGGTGACATCAGAAAGGGCCTCCCTTGGCACGTCAAGGATGTTAGATCTTATCTTGTGGACAAAAGAAGCAATTTAGAGTTTTAAACAGACGTGACACGACTCTATTTGCATTCAAGAAGATTCACTCTGGTGGCCACGGGAAACACAGGATGGAAAATAGCAAGGGGGACCATGGTTATTTCATTCATCTCTGTAAGAAATGGTGAGGGTCTGAAATAAAGCTGCCATGTGGACGGGGGGTGGGAGGCAGGTGTGAGAGAAGGGATATTTGCTCACTGTAAGGCTAGTGAGCAGAAGAAAGGTTTCCAGGTCTTGGACCACGGTTAGAATTCTGACTGTGCCACTTAGTAAGCTGGGTGACCTTGGGCACGTTTCTCTTGATGAGCTTTGGTTTGAAAATCTCTGAGACCAGGCTTTAAAGAATCAGTAAAATAATACAGGTAAGGACAGGAGCCAGTGCCTGGCACACAGAGGCCTCACTGGTACTGGTAGGAACCTCAGATGATGTCAGGTGGCGCACATCTGGAATTCCTCTGTGAACAAGGGAAATATCTAGAGGCAGACTTTTCTTAACTCTACATGCCCGGGGCCTGCTTCGGTGCCTTACTCATGTTTCTGGAACTGAACTTAATTGTACTTTGGGGTGGGGGCAGGAGGAAGAGAGTTATCAGGAGGGCAAATTCACGGCTTGGAGAGCGATTTTGGTCTCTTCACAGTTTGCTCACTTGATAACATCAGAACAGCTAGAGCAGATGACACTTTGTTTTCCCAGTTTCACAGACTAAAATCAAAATGCTGAGAGGTAGGAGGAGGTTGCATTGCTGAGTAATCGCGACACCGGGAGAGCTGCTCCATGTCCCAGGACACGGCCTCTTGGGCCTGGAGCCCCCTCGCCCAGCAGCATCCTGCCACTCACAGGGCTCTCGGGAATCAGTAGCTTCTTCCACGGGATTCTCCTGGGTGTCATTTCCCTCCCAAGCAGCGCCGGCGGCTGTTCTCAGAGCCTCCAGATGCTGAAATTTGAGTTGGAAATCTGACAAACAGCAGCCGTGGATACAAGACAAAGATGGGCGTTTCTGGATCACACAGGGAAAGAGTGGCCAACACTGAGCTTCTCTTCATCACCCTGCTCCCGTGGACATGGCGCTGCTAAGATCTTCAACTATAAGCGACAAGGAGCTAGAATACACACTCGATCTCTTTCCACCCCTTGCATCAGCTTTCTTCCCTGTACCTACCGCTGACATGGCATTCTCATTTTCATGGGAACAAGTCCAAGTTCCTTAGCCTGACACTAGAGAAGTCCCCTACCCCCAGCCCTGCCTGCCTTTTCTCTCCCTCATCTGTCCTTCAGCCTTTACAGGAACCTTCTCTTGGAGCCAGAGTCTGGACGACCTTGGGCTTTGCCTATACCTATAATGCCTTACTCTGAAGTCGGATAAACTTGAGTTCAAGCCCACGCTCTGTGATTTATTAGCTGTGTGATCTTGGGCAGGTTTGCACAACTTCCCTGAGCTTCAGTGTGCTCATCTTCACCAAGGAGATAATAACTCCTTCCCTGAAGACTTGTGCTGAAAATGAAATAAGCAAAGATATGCCAGATGCCAGCACAGATCACACACTCAATACTATGGACCCCAACCCTCTAAGGGGAGTTCAAGACCAGTGTCCTCCTCCATTCCCTGATAATAACACAAAACATTCTCCCTTCCCTCTGCCTTCTAAACAAATAATAATAGCTGGTATTTATTAAGCATATACTATGGGCCTTGTACTATTTACATAGGTAGACTCAGCTGATATACACCACAACCTTATGAAGTAAGGATTCTTAATACCTATATTTCATAGCCTTAAAAACTAAGACTTAGCAATACCCAACAACTTGCTCATGGTTAGGCAGCTAAGTGGGAGAGGGTGGGTTCTGACCTGGGCATTCTGATACAGGGCCCACACTCTTGCTTGCTGTGCTGTGCTACAACGGAGAAATGTCTATGTCCTAAGATGACATCCTGTGTGACTTATCCCACAGTGCCTCACACCATGTGTGCTGCTCAGCAGGTGCTTAATGGAGGCTCTATTAGGTGCCCACAGTGGGCCCAGAGAACAAACCCAAATAACGTGAGTTCCAGCCACAGGAGCTCAGAGTTGATTGAAGAGGGATGTAGACACACAGAGCAGTGCATTCAGTCAGCATTGCAGGGGTGGCAGCCAAGCTGGCAGGCAGTGTCAACTCAACCTGGAAAAGTCAAGGAGAGCTTCATGGAAGAGGTGGTCACATGTCTTCCCATCCAATGCATCTCTCAAGAATGGTCATTTCTCGATTGTCTCTTACCTTTTAACTCCTTTTGTCTTCCTTTGGGGGGAAAGGCTCTCTTACATTCTTCGTCTTCTATAACAAAATTCCACAGATTGGTGACTTAAACCACAGACATTTATTCCTCAGAGTTCTGGAGGCTGGAAGTCCAAGATGTCAAGGTATTAGCAGATTCACTTCCTGGTGGGAGCTCCCTTCCTGGCTTCTGGACAGCTGCTTTCTCTGTGTCCTTACATGGCAGAGAAAGGAAGCGCTGGTCTAAGTCTTACTTTTCTTAGAAGGGCACTAAGTGTGTCATGGGACCTCCCCCACCCCCATGACTTCCTCTAATCCTAATTACTGCCAGAAGGCCCCATCTCCAAATACCATCACACTGGGGGTTAAGGCTTCAATAGATGAATTGTTTCAGCCCATAACAGAGGTCTTTAATCTAACCAAGTAATTGGATGGGATTCTGTTGGCATAGGAGCATGGCGGCGTTACAGAGTAGGAGACAGGAAATTCACAAGACAGATATCTGTTTGCACAGTGGATGCTCCTCTATGAGAACTCTGAAGGATCTAAAGCTTGAAGGTTCTTGAAGGATCCCAAACCACACTGCTCTAGGCTGGAGAAAGAGGACAGTCAGGGAACCTCAGAGTCTGAGGCAGCCCCCTTGGGATGCAAAGATAAGGATCTGTGGAGGAAGAAACAAGTGGAATTTCCCAGAAAGCGTGAGATACCTAGCAGCCCTTCTAGGTCAATTCTGCGTAGAAGGACAGGTGAAACAGGAGAGCAAAGGCACATTTTGTACCCCAACCAAACTCCTTATGTGGGCCTGACCAGCAGGGACATTCTCCCCTGGGCTTGGACTGATCATGCCCAGGTGCCCTCCTGACACAGTGAACATAATGGAAGAAGGAGGTGGCTCCTTCTTCTTGAAGTCGGGAGCCCAGGTTCACTTGGTGTGCAGTCAGTGCTCCGTATAACTCCTACACAGGCGCTCAGTGGCTACTCCCTGAGCATTTGCTGCACAATGACTGATCACTCATAACCTTGAACCAAGCTCATGCCCTTCCTCCAATGGCCCTCTTTCCTGTCTCTGGTGGTCTAGATTTTGATGCTAGACCTCCGACTCTACATCGAGTCTTTCCCTCCATTTACCCCAAGGGGCCACCCCACTCCTCTTCCTGTTTTCTGTGGTCTCCTGCTCACACTTTTTAAGTTTGAAACTTGCACAGTCCAGCCTTTATGATTTGTTCCCATAAGGCTCTTGGTTTGCTGTGCTTCTACACAATGGACATCTCGCTGAGTGGGACGGGAGAAAGAGCATGGGCTTGGTGTCAGAAAATCCTCCGTTTCAATCTGAGATCAGGCACTTAGGAGACACGGCAGATTTCAGCTCCTCTGAGCCCAGGCTCCATCCTCCGAAGGTCCTATGACGGTCACCATGGAAGCTGTGCTGGTGACCACTGCACACACCACCTCCTGACACAGGGGCCCAAGGTCTGACATCAGCACACTCTGGTGGCTGAAAGCAGGCCCTTGCAGGGCTCAGTTTGCTAGAGAAGGAGAGGGACGGTATGCAGCTTCAGGGGCTCTGAGCCCTCGGGGCAAACAAGCCCATCAGAACCTGACAGGTGCTCTCCCAGCCTCGGTTAGGGACATAAAGCTTCCTTTTAGGTGTCACTCTTCTCCCAAAGTCCCTGGACCTCCCCCAGACTTCTTGGAACCTCCTTGGAAACAGATGGCTCTTGTACTGATGATACAAAAAGATAGGATCAAAGAACTGATGACTCATTTGAGGTCATTGGAAAAAGGGTATCAGATCCCCATCTGGGTGCTGCTGTCCTGTCACTGAGTCTGCCTCCCAGCCCTGCTCCCCACCTGCTGATTAAGAGTCTACCTGGTGAAGAGCATAGGAAACTGTCTCTGGATGCCAGGGCAGTTGAAATGTGGCCACAAGGCCAGTCCTCTGTGAGGTTACCATCCTGGAGTATTTGACAAGCCAGGGACAGACAAGGTGGCAGATGGTGTTTGACGAGCCCCGAGTGGTGCTGGAGCTGCACTGACCGTGGAAGCAGGTGAGGCAGCATGAAAAAGGTGAGTCTGAGTTGCAGAGAGAAGAAATTGCATGACCCAGAGCTCATGGAGAAGGCCCAGCCTGGGAGCAGCCCATCCAGTGAGGGGTCCGGGCCTTGGCCAGTGTTGACCTGGCCACCGACTTTGTGTCTAGGGCCACTTTCCACCATTTGCTCCTGGGCCCCTGGAAACCAGGGCTCCAGGGGCAGGTGCCATTCCAGGAGTGGGCCTGCCTCTTCCCTGCCTCCCTGACTTTGCACATGGATGTCCAGCACCAGAGCTTCCCTGTGCTCTCATGTCTGCTGCAAGAGGAAAAACTCGGCTCACGTCTCTCCTCTCTTACAAAGCCTTTGAAGATTTCTGTGGGCATAGATGACTCCATCAGAATGGCCGTGACAGTAACAATGGCTCTTGGGGTGGGGGGGGCAGGGTATAATATAAACAGAGAGATCAATAGGCGGGTAGATACAAATCTCATTTCATTCTTAAAGCCCTTACTACCCCTGAGCTTCCGGAATGGAGGTTTGGAGAGTTTAAGTAACTGGCCCAAGATGATTCAGCTCCTGAGTTTGGACCAAAACTCAGACTCTTTTCTCCCCTCTCAGACACTATGAAACCCTCCCTGTACGGTGATGTCTAGAATATCAGGTTCATTTTCCCAGCCGCCTCCCTGTCAATCAGGGCCTGGCTCGGGAGTAGAAACCCGATGCACGTGTGTGGGAGGGAATCGATTTGAAGAGAGCTAGCTATTAGGAGGCTTCGGAGGTGGTGCTCATGCAATAGGACAAGGTGTCTCAGAATAAAAGATGAGCGAGTTAGGCAGGAGCCAATTAGCAGAGGGCACTCCAGCCTATGATAAGAGCTTTCATTTGATAGGAGACAATTGGGAGCCATTCATCGTGGAGCTCAGAGAAAGGCACAGACAAGCCCCTAATGACACTCGAGGGCCTTCGAAACCTTTAATTGCTGCCTGCAGTTTTACTATTTCCTTGTAGAAGTGACTGACACGGGAAGATAAACTCGTGGCTTCCATGAGCCCCGGGCTACTCTGCCCACCACAAGGTCACTTCGAGAGCACCGTTCCCACTGGATGCAAAGTGGGAACACTGCAAACGAGCCCAGGTCACTGTCCCTGTGAGTCCCTGAACCCCCAGATCAAGACCCCTCCCTGCCTCCTGCACCTCCACACCCCACACGGCTCTTGGGGTAGGAGGAGCCTGCAGGGGCCCACCCCATGGAGACCAGCAGTCACCACCACCATTAGCCCTTCTGCAATTTCCCAGTTGCGAACCCTCGCTGGTCCGTCCTCTCTTTGAGTGTTCATGGCTTCCAGGAGTTTCCACCCCACAGAGGCAAGTGCTTCCCTCCCTGCCCCGTCACCCCATGAACGCCCACTGTGCCGAACTGGTGTGAAGAGAGAGGAAGGGGGCTGCGGAATTCTGCTCTTGGAGAAGCCCTGGTAGGCTGCTCAGCGTTTCGTCTCGTATTTTTCCAAGCTTGGGATCCCTCGCTTCTTCCGTGGGGCACAAAACCACTGGGAGACCGGTGGCCGAGCCTGGCCTTCCAAAGCCAGCGAACGAGCACCAACCATGGGGCGGATTCCACACCCAGGACAATGGCCTCTTCAAGGCACAGAAAGCTGCTCAGTGCCGCATTGTTTGCATGTGACGCAGCCTCTTGAACACACACAAGCACTCCCATTTTCACTAGCCCCGTGACGGTGACTTAATTACTGCCCAAGTTGCTGGGGCTGATTCAAGCTGCAAATCTCTCTCCCCACCCCATAAAGGGAAGAAAACAAAACCAAACCCTGACTATGAAAAGGAAAGCCAGCCCTTGAGCCAGTGCAGGATGGGAACTGACAGTGAACTGGGTACCAGGTGCGTTAATTACACTTGGTTTACGACTGTGGTCACTTGTGGGCGATGATCTGGCCCAGCACCTGCGCCCACGGACATCCCTGGTATTTGGGGAAGCAAGATGAATATTGGCCAGATGGTGACTTCAGGAGGACCTAATTCACGTAGCATGCTCTTCTCCGGTGCAGATTTCTGTGAAGGAATCTTAAGCGCCAGGCTGAACAAAACAGGACAGGAAAACTCAGCCCCCGAGAAGGCACACGGCCATGAGTTGAAGATTAATGGTCCCGACAGTGACCCCGACAGGAGGCCCACATGGCAGTCAGACCCCAGGCTCCGAGCAGCTGATCCTGCCAACCCATCGCCTTGTCGCTGGCAGAGGGAACTGACACCCTCCTCCTGGGAGTCACTGATGCACTCTGCACGGGGGAGGGGCGAGCCCCGAAGTGATACACAGGATCCTACACATTGCAGAAACTGGGGCATTTACCTGTTCTGTTTTTAAGTTAACTTCGTGCAGTGACAGGCCTCATCAGCACCTACTTGCCCGGTAATTTGATTTTGACAGTGACCAAGTGAAGAGTGCGCTTCTCCTTCAGCAGCTGGGACTAGTTCTGAGGAGCAGGGAGAGAACACTGGGAAAAGAGTAAATAAGTGTGCCTTCTTAGAAACTCTTGAAAAGCAACACGAAGAAACCCTGGTATCATCAGGCCAGGAGCCAGCCAGCCAAATAGCCCCTTTCCAAGTTGGTTTAGGAAAGTTCTTGCTAGTTAAGGAGTCATATGTATCCGACCCACAAGGAGTTAAAAGAAAAGTTGGCGTCACCCACCTGTCCGTGGCGTTCTGGAGGCAGTAAAGCCTGTCTGGAATCTGTGCAATTTCTCCAACCTACACACTGGAATCCTGAACCACAGAACAAGGACATGCAGACTGAAGGTCACGCTGCTTCAAAACAAGGTCAGCCCGAAGCAGCTCCGAGCAGGCAGAACCGGGTTAAAGTATGTGGCTGGGTGTGGCCTCGCCCCCGTGGCCTCGGCCCACAGCCCCCCTCCACGTCATAACCACGTGTGTGTCGAGAAGCAAGACAAGTCCTCGCCTCATTCAGGACAAAAGCCAGCCTAGCAGAACAGTGTTGCTACGCTGTATTTTTGCTGTTGTTCACTTGTTTTAGAGGAATAAATACTTGAATCTGTGCTAAAGGGATCAACAATGTAATAACACATGCCAGGTGCATTTCCCAGTGCACTCGCCTCCACAGCCTTCTGCCAGATGGACCTGTCTAGAGAGTGGGCCCCTGAGTCGGTGGCCCTGCTTCACTACCTACTGCTGTGCAACCTCACACCAGTGACTTAACCTCTCTGAGAGTCGGTGCCCTCAGGGGTTAAAGAGGAGCAAGAAGAGAACCTCGCTCTCGAGTTGGTAAGGACTGAATGACAGGCGCCTTGAAAGCTTGATGGGAACCCTGCCTAACACTGCGTACTCCCGGAGGCCCCACATTTATTACCACGCGGCGTGGGTAGCTGCGGAAGTGAGATCAGAGTCTCTGAAGCCCCACCAAGGGCACATCTCTCTTCAGAGGTAAAAACGAGAGCAGAACCCAGGCCCTCCTCTGCTGTGGCCTCCAGCTCCGCTCAGCCGATGCAAATCCATGGCAGAAAGCCCAGTGACAACAGCCCCCTCCAGGGCTGGGACCTGGCAGGCCACGCTTTGGCAAACTGCCCTTCGTGCCCATTAAAAAAAAAAAGCCCTCTATTGTTTCTGCAGAAGGCATTTTGATTCCTTCCAAATAAAATGCTTTTCCTCCCCCCTCAGCAGAAATAGCTCCGGGGAGCTGGCTCCCCCTCTAGGAGCCGGGGGCTGACCCCAGCTGGGCAGGCCGGGCTGGCAGGGTGACTCAGCAGAAACGGGCCTGCGGCTGGAGCCACCCACCCTGCCAGCCAGAGAAGGACACTGCTCAGGTCCCCCTGGGCGCAAAGCGTCCTTGGTCTGCAGGGGCCCGCCCATGTTGACATGTGGGCTGGCAGAGCAGCCCTGGCTGGTCACCGCGGTCCCCGGCCCAACTCATTTAACCTCATAGATACGTGCTGGCTCATACTACTCCCGTCTTGAAGGTGGGGAAACTGAAGCACGGAGAGGACAAATCACCTTCCTGGGGAGCAGTGTAGTGGGAGCTGGGCTTAACCCAGGAAAGTCTGGCTTCTGGGCTGCTGGGAGCTGGTTATCACTCTTTCTCTGCTCTGCTGCTGCTCGGGCAGCTGGGAGCTGACGATGGGCACTCCGTGGTCTCTACAACCTGAACGCTCCCCTCCACCCCCACCTCACCTGCCCTGTCACCGGCCCTCTCCTCCCTGGATGCCAGCACTGCCTCCTGAGCAGTCCCCCTTCCACCCAGGCCCCCGCCTCACCACCCTGCCTCCCAGCTGCATACTCCTCTTGGAGAACCTGCCGGCCTGGTGCTGGCTCTCCCTGGCCTGGTTAGGGCTGCCTGGCTGCCAGGAACGCCTTTCCTCCCCACGGCTGATGGCTCCAGCAGAACCCCACCGGGAATCCGTCCTCTCCTCTGGGATGGGGGCCAGTGGCCCATTAAAGTTCACATCACATCCAGTGTGTTTTTCTAATGCTGCGCTCGCCGAGAGCAGAGAACTGCCCACAACTTCACGTCACCCACATCAGGGCACCGGAGAGACAGCAGGTGCTCCAAGAATGCTCGTTACACCAAATGACCAACGGGTGACCCACCCCCACACCAAGAGTCAACGTGTCACATCAGCACGGATCAACAGAGGGTCCGGGTGGGTGTCTCTGGATTTCTATGGTACAATGGCACTTCCTGGGCCCATGAGGTTGTTCCCCAACAAGTGGAGAACGGAGGAGAGACATGTCACCTGACGGACGTGTGGCCAAGTCTGCAGTTACAGGGACGAGTCCTGCAAAGCTCTGTGATGAACAGGTAACGTGAGCCAGAAACACAACTTTGTTGTTGGAAGCCCCTGAACGTTTTTAGTAAAACCCATCTTACTCGGAGGGAAGTAACTTGAATCTGTCATTAACCTCATAAATGTTATTTTCGGCACTTGCCAAGAGTGGCTTTTCAGGTAGGAGGTTGTCTGCAATACCTAACACGAATAATTGCAAACAGAGCAAGAAGCAGCAGGGTTCCGGTGATGGAGAAGCAAAGGAAGGATCGCCTGCGTTCAGTGTGTTTCTGATCGGTTCATGTAAGCATGAGCGAACTCCGCCGCCACCCTTTATTTCTTTTGCTCCTTCTTATGGGAAGGAGCTCCACCTGTTACAGAGAAGATGGTGATCAGTGTGGTGACTCACCCAAAGTCAAGACTAAGAAAGGTGTGGCTGAGACCAGAAGCTGGGCTTTTGGACTCCCAGCCTGGGGCTCTTCCTTCTAGACTGAAGCTCCAAATACTTCAGGTTCCAGAAGAAAATTTGAGTGACATAAAGAAAACTCATATGCTAAATCACTTGTAAAGGGCTTTTGGGTACTAAATCATTCTCAAATGGTCATGGTTCTTTTCTGTTATTTTTGTTGTATAACTATTGTCATGTTTATAGCAAAACAACAGGCAAATACCAAAGTGGAGAATTCCATGACAACCGTCATTTGGTTGTGGTGATGGGTGGTCAGTGGCCCCAGCTCACCCTGTGGGGTCTGAAGCAGAGGACAGGCACCAGTAGCTTGACAACAGGTCTGGGGATTGGAGTGTGGGGTCCGATGGCCTGGTCCCTACCGCTCACTCCCAAATCCTCGGCTCTGTGTCTTGGGCCGACCCAAATCCAGATTCAAGGCCATGGCCCCAGGGGCTCTGTGAAGGTGTCTGGCACTGGGCTCAGATGGGACCTCCTTCAAGTGAGGGTCAAAGATGGGAGGGCACTCGGGTCCGCGGCCCTTCTCTGGCAAATGTTTCTTTGTCCTGTTTCCCCTTCAGCTCCAGGGTCCCCTGTCCACCTTCCTGCAGGCTTGCCATCCCTCTCCACTCCCTCTTCTTGCCCAGGGGATCGATCACGTGATAGCATCATTTTCTGTATCTTCACACCTCAGGCTTCCTTTCCTCTGTGGCTCATGGCTCCCGCTGGTGACCAGACCCACCAGGGGAAGCTCACTTCTTCCAGCTTCACCACATCACCCCGCCAGGGTGGTGGTTCAAATGGCTCGTGCCAAGGACATAATTTGGCAATGTCACTGAGCACAGAAGAAATTTCGTAAGAAAATAAGAGGCCCGTTTAGAGTCTTCCCTTTATAAAATCACATGGTCTGACCCATCTCCCTTTCTCCCTCCCTCCCTCTGTTCATCCTCCCTTCTCTTCTTCTCCCCCCACCACCTAATATCAAATGGCAGTAACATGAGCATTGGTTTCTTTTGTAGGGTTGGGTGTTTGGGTAAACTCTGCCCTTGGGTTTGTCCTATCTGGCTTGTTATTACTATCTGACTGGTAAGAACTCGAGCAGAGGTTCAGGACCAGAGAACAAGATGGAAGGAAAAGGGCCGATGAGATGGCTGACCTTGCCTTGCCCTTGGACGGGCCAGACTCCTGAGTTCTCAGGCTAGTTGTCCTGGCCTCTCAGTGCTAGGATCCCCAGTGAGATTTGGAATCCAAGCACCCTAATAGTAAACTGTGTGCCTTGGTCCAGAGTGTCCTCTCTGCCCAGCGTCCTGTGTGACCTTCAGCAAGAGTAAACAGCAATTTATGGGGTTTTTTCCTCCTAGTCACCCCCTCCCCATTCTTCTTTTCAAGATATAACTAACATCTTCAATTATTACTTCTAAAATGACTTAAATATCTTTATCCTATCCCTTGCTGAATTTGAATGTGTCACTTCCTGCTTCCAAGATTAATAGAGAAATAGAGACAGATAGAAAGTGTGTCCTTACTGTCAATCATTGTACTGTGTACGTTATATGCTTTCTCTTAATTCATCCTCATGACCATCACATGAGGTAACTGACCCTTAAGAGAGTTTCAATAACTTGCCCAGAGTCACACTGCTGGAAGTGGTGGACTGACAGAACCCTGCAATCAGCCTCCAGACCCCATGGTCTGGACCCCGACTCTATTACATCCTTTGGGTCTAGCTAATGTCCCATCACCTCTACATACTCCACCAGCCAAAAATCCAACTGGGCCATCCCAGATGCTCCTCCTTATAAACGTCCGTTTCCATCACTCAGCTGCCAATCAAGCTTCACATCTTGCCCTCATTCTTCGCTCTTCTCTCTCCTCGCCCACAATACCTGCTGGGTCACTGAGTTTGTTGTTTCTCCCTCCACGTAGTTCTTCACACCCTCCCTTCTTTGTGGTCTCACTGCCACCTCAAGTCCAGTCCTTCATGATGTCATGTCTGAGCCATGGTAATTGGTCCCCAGTTTGTTTCCCTGATTCTTCCCTTCATCCTATACTTATGAATCGACCCATCTTCCCAGGACCTTACTCGGCACACATTGGCTTCTCCGTGCTTCAGATCTCCGGGAGCGTCCCTCTGGCGAGTCCACCCCCTTTCCCCAGCCCCTCCGCTTCTCCAGTAGAACCCTCACCTCCTACCAAGCTGGCTGCTTCCTCAGCTTACTTCGACTTTCCACATGTTTTGTGTTTTCCATTCTTTTCCCATAGAGTTCCTTCTACAGTGAATTAACAGTCTCTCTCTCTGTTTGCCAATGATCTGGCCTTCCTTTAAGGGCTGCCTTAGGTACTATACCTTTCATGGAACATGCCTCTTGTGCCCCAGATTCTTACCTCTTTCTGAATCTGATATACTGTCTGGACCACATGTTTGGTTCTAAGCCAAGGATGCCTTAGTCATCTTTTATGAGGATACCTGGGCTCAGCTTCTGGCACATGTAGACGCTCTGAGTCAACCATAGCTTTAGTATGACAAACATTTCTAATTTCCCTGGACAATTTTGAACCAAAATATTTTGCTAGTTGTAAGATCCCAAATCCTGATTTTAGCTTCGGAGGACAGAGTGGGTGACAA